GAGAGGCGATTCGCTCATGGAGCTCCACCTTTAAGAGTCAGTTAATGTCATTGGGAGTAGAGGTTACTCATTGTGGGCCTGTAAAAATGAGTTTGGCCCTCTGTTGCTATTTTGATTTCGTCTTGCCTTGCTTATCCACCTCCTGCCTCAGGATGATGATGTAACATGAACCCCTTGCCAGATGTCAGTGGCATATTCTAAGATTTCCTAGCTTCCAATAGCATGATCTAAATATGTAATTAATTTCCCAGTCTCAGGAATTCTATTTTAGCAGCACAAAGTGAACTAACATGGAGGAAAGTATTTCTTTTCCCTTTTTCATTTGGTCTAATTTCTATGATTCATGGCTAGTGATTTATAATAAAATAGTTACTTCATGACTTAGGTGTTCTATCAATTCAAAAGCATAAAGAATAGCTAAAATAAGAACATGTTTTTGGATTGGGAGTATTAACATCATGAAAATGGGAATACTTCCAAAAGCTATCTACAAATCCAATGCAATACTTGTCAAATCCCAACATTCTTCAATGATATAGAAAAAGTATTCCAAAAAATCATATGTAATAATAGAAGAGTCCCTGAATAGCAAAAACAATCCTTAGCAGAAAGAACAGTCCTGGAGGAATACCAAAACCAAACTTCAAAGCCGTAGTCATAAGAACAGCTTGGTTCCCTTCTGTCCACATCCCCTCCAGCATCTGTTGTTATTAGAGTCTTGATTATAGCCATTCTAACTAGGGTGAGATGGTATCTCAATGTTGTTTTGATTTGCATTTCTTTTTTGGCTAGGGAGGTCGAGCATTTCTTCATGTGTCTATTGGCCATCCTTCTTTCCTCTTTAGAGAAGTTCCTCTTTAAGTCTTTAGCCCACTTATTTATTGGGCAGTTGTTTCTTTGAGGATTTGTTTTTGGGGAATTTAATTTTTTGAGTTTCAGGTATATTTTAGATATGAGACCCTTGTCCGTTGTATGGTTAGTGAAGATCTCCCAACCTGTGGGCTTTCTATTGATCTTGCTAGCTATGTCCTTTGCCATGCAGAAGCTCTGCAACTTCATGAAATTCTTTGATTTGTTGTGTTTCTGGGTATCTATTAAGAACCTTAATGCACTGATGGTGGGAGTGTAAACTTGTTCAACCACTTTGGAAAGTAGTATGGAGGTTCCTCAAGACTCCACACAGAGCTCCCCTATGACCCAGCAATTCCACTTTTGGGCAGTTACCTGAATGATTACAAACAAGACCATACTAAAGCTACTGGCACAACGATGTTTATTGCAGCATTATTTACCATAGCTAAGATATGGAATCAACCCAGATGACCCTTGGTGGGTCAAGAAAATATGGCATACATACACAATGGGATTCTATGCTTCCATCAGAAAGAATGGCATTGCCTCATTCATAAGAAAATGGAAGGACTTGGAAAATTGTCTTAAATGAAGTAAGCCAGAACCAAAGAAACATAAGCTGAGTTCAATCATCACTACCACCAAAATATTGAAATAAACAATGGACTCTAGTGGTGAACTAAAAGGAACAGGGAAAAAGAGAGACTGGTTTTCCTCTATCTTTGAAATGTGAAACAATTCTTATAAAAGTAATGAATTTCCTAAGTCCTGGATGCAATACTACTTCATGTCTCTTACTCTGTTTCAAAGATAAGCATAAGATTAAAAGGAGAGTTACAGCATTATGTTATGACAGCACCAACAATCAGGTGACTGTGAATTTTATCAATATTTTTGGTATCTTGCTTACAAAATACAAAAAGGTATCTAAGACCTGTGGATTTTTTTTCTTTTTAGCATCTGATAGTACATTTTTATTTCCCTCTAGAGTCAAAAGAAAGTAGCAATTTAATTATTCATTTGTACCATTTCCATTTTTCTCCCCTCCCATTTATGTAAAGTCAAGTGCCAGGGCTAATGCAACCCAGGGCTCGTCCTCCGAAGGGTTGATGCAACCTTAATAACACAGGGAAAGGAATCCGATCTTTGGCTTCCTAAAATCTATAAAGAGCCTGTATCACTTTCCCATAGAAGAACTGTTTTAGAAGCACCCATAGCTCATTTTGAAGTCAGGAGAGGAGTCTGTGATATACAGCACATAGACCGATTATAACAGATGCATTTCTCCTGAAATAACTTCATTAATCCTTTCTTTTACATACAGTTTTTATAGCTAATTGGCAGATCTGCCAGATGGAGCTGTTAAGAACCCTCTAAAGAAGTTGATAGGTAGGGAGGAAATCTGGAAGTTTCACCGACTCTTAAGATGAAACAGCTATATATTTTCAAAGAAAATATGTGGTACATAGTTTTTCTTTTTTTGTCAAAACCTTGCTTTATATGGGCCAAGTAATTAGGTGCATCATAGTAAGCTATTAAGCTGCATACTGGTCTCTATGCAATAAATGTTAAGAGGTACCCCAGGGTAACAACTAGTAATGTTTCTGGACTTTGTCAAACATCCATGGGGGAAAAATTGTCCTAGCTGAAAACAAGTGTTCTATGAAGAGGTTCTTCCTAATTCTTAAAGCTATAGAATACACTTTCTGATGTATGCCTAAATTACTAAAAAACCACTGCCTTTTTGTTAAGTAAAAAAATGTTCGGCATTATTTCAGACTAATGCTTTCACAAATCTCTCTAGAAAAAGGGAGGGAATACTGGGAAAATGATTATTATCTAAAAATGTCACTGTCATCCTCATCATTGCAAATACTGAGGAATTTTAATTTTTTTCAATTATGCTTAGTGGTGTAACAGAGTAGTCATTTAACAAAGCAGTGTATGGGTGCAATGCCTCTTGATCAATGTCACTCCTTTCAATATTCTCACCCATCCCTTGCTAGCCACTCCTTCCCTTAGTCTTCTTAATTTTGTAGGACATACGTTAAAGTCTTGACTATTTTCCTCTTCTCATCATTCATCTACCCCTTTCCTCTTGACCACACCGGACTCCTTTCAAGTACCCACTTCCTGGGGATTTTTTTGTTGAACTGTGACTTTGCCTGTCTAAGGAATTACATTGCTGAGTTCTCTTTGGAATCTGCCATATTTCAGTTAATACATTTTTCTACAGTTGTATACCCCCCAATGTTATTTGAGTTCCTAAGATAAATCTAGCTTTCACATATAAGGGAAAATATGCATCCTTTGTCTCTTGGGCCCTAAACTGCTTCACTTAACATGATGTTGGCCAGGTCTTTCCATTGAGGAGCATTTGAGCTGATTTTATACCTTGCCTTCATTTTCATTTCAGGAGCTTTCTTCGTACAGTATGACGGAAGTAGAAGGGAAAATGATCTGATACATGGACGATTGCTAGTTGAAGTACCTAAGGCTTTTTAAAGTTTTTCTTTGTGCCAGTGTTGGGGTTTCAACTCAGAGGATCAAGCTCATGGAATTACGCTACCATTTGAGCCACACTTCCACGTCTAGCTTTTTGCTGGTAAACTGGAGACACAACTCTCACGGATCTCAGGTCCTTGCTGGCTCTCAGTCCCCATCCTCAGAACTCAGCCTCATAAATACCTAGGATTCCAGATGTGAGCAATCCAGAATCTGGCTACCTAAGACATGCTGTTTTTTGTGCTAGTTCTGGGACTTGAACTCAGGGCCTGGGACACTGTCTCTGAGCTTTTTTGTTTAAGGATAGATCTCTACCATTTGAGCCACATCTCTACTGTCAGCTTTTTTGCCACTGAATTGAAGGTCAAGAATTTCACAAACTTTCCAGCCCAGGCTGGCTTCAAACTTCAATCCTCAGATCTCAGCCTTCTGAGTAGCTAAGATTACAGATGTGAGTCACTAGTATCCAGCTAATTAAGACATTTTTATTTCTAATTTAATTTTCATTTATTTATTTTTTGGTCATGGAGTTTGAACTCAGGGCCTAGGTGCTATCCATGAGCTCTTTTGCTCAAGGCTAGTGCTCTAACACTTCAAGCCACAGCACTATTTCTCATTTTTCTGGTGGTTAATTGGAGATAAGAGTCTTACAAGTCTTTTCTGCCCCCACTGATTTTAAGCAGCAATCCTCAGATTTCAGCCTCCTGAGGAGCTAGGATTGTAGGTGTGCGCCATCAGTGCCTGGTTAAGACATTTTTAAATGAAAGAAACTGATGTTATTTAATGGACTATATACAGAGAAAACAGACCTGGATCTATTTTGACTTCAGCATGTACGTACAACTGTGAAGTAATATACTTAGGGCATACAACGGTTCATGGCAGATACAGAGAGATCTCTTCATCTTTTAAACTCAATGGTGGAAAAAAAGTGCTCACCGAGCTAATGATTTCTCATAACTTATGTATCAATCAATAGATCTAAAAAGAGTACCATAAAATAAGATACGAATTATAGTGTGAAATAGTAAGTCTACTTTAGTTCTCTGTGAAGGAAAGAATATTGCAGCATGAACTATGTGGAGAAAATTATTCCGTATTATTCCAAGTATGCATGTTGTAAAGATCCTCAGCTAACCAAATTGCTTTCTTTCCTGCAGAGCTTTTTAAATATTTTTTTCATAGAGACTTAGGTGAGCTGGTTTCTCTTCATATAAGCTAAAGATAATTCTTATTTTTTTTTTTTTTTTTTACTATTTAACAATTTTGCAGGTCAATATTTAGGTTCACCCCCTCCTTCCCCTAGAGCGTTCTGTTTATTAGTTTCTTTTCTGCTAGATTTTTCCAGGACCATTGTTAAGAATTCTTATTTTACATGTGCTGTCTCCTCCCCCAATAAAAGGAGATACTTTGAGTGGGGTGCAGCTTGCTATCTGTAATTACTGCCAGTGACATCCCCAATCCATCCTTTCCTTAGGAATGCATTGGGCCTTTGCCTTTTGAGGGCGCAGGGCTGAAGATCAAGGCCCCTCCAGGCCTTACCTGGGCGGTGGTCCCTGTCCTTACTTCAGATTTTTGAGCCCCACCATCCTCCCCCCTACCCCCCACCCCGTCAGGGCCCAGGCCAGGCCTGGCACACTCACTCTCAGCTGGCTCTTTGGACCTCCGGCCGCTGGAGGACTTCCTCAGGAGGCTGCGTCCCGAGGTGAAGAGGCTGGTGAGTTCTTCCAGGGGGCTGGTGGGCGTCCTGGCCCGGGAGCCACTCTGCGCCGCCGCCGCCCCGTAGGTGTTGACCGCGGCGTTGACCATCCTGGCCCCGTCTTGGGACAGGGGCCTGGGGCCGGCGGCCGCGGCGTGCGTCCCGGGCGGCGGGCCGCGGGCCAGGCCGGCCGCCGAGTGCACGGCGGCGTCGTAGGCCGGGAGCCGCTTGAGGCTCAGGGGCGTCAGCGACCGGCCCATGCTCACGGGGGACGGGGACGGGGAGTGGCTCTTGGGGTACCCGTGGGGAGACTGGGCGCGGTACAGCGTGCAGGGGGGCGGCGGCGGCGGGGAGGAGGAGGAGGACGACGACGACGACAGCACCACCGACGACGGGGCCATGGCCGAGGCGGAGGCGGAGGCCGCCGGGCCCGGCGCGGCCCCCGGCGGGTCCTTCTCGGGCTTGTGGGCGTGGGGCGCGGGCAGCGCGGAGGAGGGCGACGAGCCCGCGGCCTGCTTCAGGTAGGACACGTTCTCCAACACGGGGAGCTTGGTGACCTCCAGCGGGGTGAGCGGGGACTCGTCGGAGTTGGGGGAGCAGTGCGCGGGGGCCGGGGGGAACACCAGCAGCGGGGGCCGGTGCGACAGCAGGTTGGGGAAGGGCGGGGGGATGTCGCAGAGCGGCGCCTTGGGGGCGGCGCCCGGCGGGGGCCCCGCGGCGGCGGCGGCGGCCCGGGCCGCGTCCACGTCGGGCACGGTGGGCGTGGCGCACTGGGAAGAGCAGCTGTGGCGCTCCGGGTCCCAGCGCGGGTCCCAGCGCGGGTCGTGGCCCGCGTCGTCGAACAGCGGGTACTTCATCTCCTCGTAGACGGCCTCGCTCGGCTCGTCGTCGTCCCGCCGGAAGTCTCGCAGGATGTTGCCCACCATCTCGATGTACACGGGCTCCTCCTCCTGGTCCGGGCCCTCCCCGCCCGCCGCCGGCGGGGGGCTGCCCACCTGCGACAGCGAGCACTCCCGCGGCAGCGAGGTCCTCCGCGGGCCCGGCCTCCGGATGTAGGTTTCGTCGAAGGAGGTGCTCAGCTGCGTGTTGGGGTTCCGCTTGGGCTTGGGAGGAGGGATCTTCTTGGAGTACTCATCACTGTGCGGTCTGGGTTTGGCGGACACTGAAAGAAAGGGGGGGGGAAATGGATGAATAGGGTAGGAAAGGCGGCCACGTAGGCTTTGTCTGGGGCTCCTGCCACCTAGACCTGAGGCTTAGATTACATGTATATATATGATATATATTATGTTAGATATAATGTATAGTATATATATCATATATATCATATATGATGATGTATCATCATATATGATATCATGTGATATATGATATATATGATATATGACATATCATCTATCTATCTATATCAGCCTGGGCATCACACATTTCCTCTAGGAAATTCTGGTGACCAGACCAGGGGCATTATCATTGCTAGTTGCACTAACCGATCTCGTGCTCATAGACTCCTATTTTAAGTCAGAACTACCTACCCTTCTCTCCTGCCTGAGAGTTTCCTGTGACTGTGTGAAAGCCGTGGGTCTGAGCTCAGGACCTCACCCTCTCCCTTGCTTTCTTTGCTCAAAGCTGGCACTCTACCACTTGAGCCACTTCCATGACTTCTGACTTCTTCCTTTGACTTCTGACTTTCTGCCTGGGCTGGATTTGAAGAGCTCTCAAATCTCAGCCTCCTGAGCTGCGAAGATGACAAGCATCACCCACCATTGCCTGGCTGCCTAAAAATTTCTCAATGGAAACTTCCGCAAACTTCAGGTAAATTAGCTTGTAGGAATTAAGTAACACATTCAGAGGGTGGGGGGAAGCATCTATTAGTCCAGATGTTCCCCAAGTGCCACGGCGGAGACTGAGCTCTCTTACTAATGTGGCTGTCAGACATGACCAAATCTTGCTTTCATTTAGGATACAAATCCCTTAGCCTGCTAGGCATACTTAATCTGTCATGATTCAAATAAACACCTTCTATGATAATACATCTGATAGTTTGTGGGATATTGATGTTAATCTCTCAATCCACAGGATTGTTGATTTTGATGTTTCTGTTTCTGTTTACAGGATACCTTGGGATAAATTTACTAGCTGTGTTCCACTGACACATCAGAACTCCTTAGAGTTTTAAAGGAGAACACACTAAAGAATGATACAGACGTTTTGAGAATATCTGCTGGAAACTCATAGCAGGTAAGTGTTTCAATGCATCCCACTGCCCTGACTGGAAGGCCCCATTTGACAGAATATAACACCTGACACTATTCGGTAGGGTGGAACAGACAGACAAATGTCTTCATGTGAAATTCATCATTTAAAATGCAGGGAAAGTTCAGGAGTCTTGTTATTATCCCATTTTCTCATTGTGTTGATATATGATTATAACAATCATCACCATTATGCAACGTGACATAATGTAGTTACTTAGGCTAGTTGGTAGCATACAATGTGATTTGACAGGGCAGCTTATTGGTACAAATCTTGAGGAAGTAATCAGACTTCTTTATGATTTTCAGCCTAAAGAGAGGAATCTCAAGCACAAATTAGGAAGCATCTATTTTTTTTTTTTTACCATATAGCATAACTTAATGACATACAAGCTTTTAATACCCTGCAGGAGAAGGAAGGTGGCTGCACTATTCATTAATCACACCTTCAACAAGGGGAAAACAATTATGTACTCTAGTAGCATATAATTCATTTTGCTATATATTTCATTTTTGCCAGGTGATTGGTGATTTTAAATACTCTGTTCCATTGTATGCATGATGGTAATTGTACTCATCAAATAGCTTTTTGAAGAGAGAGTAAAAAATGCATCTCGATGATTCTTTTAACCCCTACTACAAAAAAAACTGGATGCCATTTTCTCCTAAGGGCTACAGCAATGGAGTCCTATAGTGTTCAAAGTAAAAAGCCTGAGAACATAATGGGGCAAAAATTATCTCGATAATTCTTCTTTAGGAGTGTCTCAAGCAGCCATTTGCCCTTCCCTGTACCGCCCAAGTAGGTATCAATTTTACTGATTTTGAAATAAAACAACAGATTATGCCTCAAAGTATGAGTTGGAATTATGTATAACTATACACTAATGAACAAAGTTTCCTTAGGATTTAAAAGAGCAAAACCTCACTTAGCCAATACTTCAGAATTTGTTTTTAGTCATCCTTAGCCACTTCACTAACTCACACTCTGAGAAAATGCTAACCACTGATTGCTGAGTTCAAGGAACTAAGTAGAATCCAGAATAGTTAGAGACTCTATGAGTGGAAATCAGAGCAGAAACCAATAGTTTTTCTTTGCTTACCATATAACATTTGGTAACCCAATGCAAATGTGTTCAAATATCATATATGGTCAAGCTTACCTATATAAGGGAAATTTTAAAATTTTAGGTAACCCTATTCCATAATTCCATGTTAATCTCCATTATTGAGAATTTAAAAATATAGAAAAAATAATTTGAAAAATGTAATTTCTTTTCAAGGCACTCAAAATAGTCTCGAGCTTAGTATAGAAGCTGAAACATTGCTAATAAAAGACAAAGAATTGCAATTCAAATTTCCACATTGAACCATATTCAACCATAATAAAAATGGTGATTTTTTTATCGCTGTTAAAAGAATTTCACATTATTTCTAATAAGTCCAAAGATAGAAGCAATAATTCCTGTTCAGCTCCAGAACACAAATTTTGATCCTTAAAATAGTAAAATGACAGAAGCATCGAATAAGCAGCAAGTGACATTTTTGAAAGGAGATATGTGAGCACAAAGGTTAGGCATAGCTTTCAGTCATGCCTAGCTGATCTGTCTTTCACAGTTAATTTTGGAAATTCACCATGTCCTTTGTCAACCTATCCTTCAGAAATACATTTTTCTTATTAAAAAAAAAGTAATATCTGTCAATGTTCTTAACCTAAGGGGTGAAAAGGAAGCATAGCGCAGGCCAGCATTTCCTATCATGAAAACACTCAGTAGCTACACAGTCCCAGTTAAAGATTCTCCACCACAATTGCCTAAATTATCAAGAAACAAATGAACTTTTGAAGTAAACCTGATCATTTCAATTAATCTTTATACCCTTTTGAACAAAGAACGCAATGGGCGATTATATGTTATCCATTATTTTGTACACAGTGTCAAGTAACATTCCAGGTTCTATTCTGAGCCCTTGCTATTGAGGCAGTCCCATAGGTCTGTGTATCAAATTAGATGTTTATGATATGTGGTAAACTGGGAAATGTGTGCCTGATGTAGGTAAATAATGTCCACATTGTGTGATTCCAAACAGGCTGGTTTTGAAGGTGACAGACACATTTGCCACTTTTAGCAGAATTGTGCTCACAATAACTCTTTTCACAACTCACAATTCAAGGCTTTGAGGGATATTTTTATTTTCACAGTCACAAGCCCCACAATACTATCCACATTTTCTTAAAATTAAGATGTTTGTGAAGGAATGCAAATACCCTGAGTTTGTTTAAAGTATGAACAAGAAAGTGCTATAATGTACAAAAAGGACCAGGTTTCAAGCTGCTGTAGATTTGGTAAAAGTTAAAGAAGAAGATTCAAAATAAATTTGAAAAGAAGAATACAAAGTCAGGCATAGAAGCTGCCTTTCAGGTGTCCTCTGCCCTTAAGTGTTTGGTGAATACTAAACAACCAACCTCTTTCTTCTCCCCTTAAATCTTGCAGTTTTCTCTGTTTTTGAAATGCAGCCAGCTACCATGGAACAAGAAGTTAAACCTCTCAGAGATCACCACATTTTGATGGAGCCCAGGCTAGCTCTGGTGAAACAAGTTATAACCAAAATCAATAAGGGAAAATAAAATTCCAGCCATATGTGCTCAGTGAAGCTGCCCCAGTCACGGTGACCCCAGTGGTTTGAGTCATACCAGATGACATTTTGAATAAATGAAAGACCATTCCTACTGTCTGCTCTTGAATTTGTTTCACAGAATTAGGAAAAATATAACCATGGCTTTTCATATCTCTATTTTTTGAGATAATCCACTACTCACTTACACATACTTCAAACAGGTACCACAAGTATGACAGTATAATTTTGTTTTGTAAATGTAATCTTTGGAGATAAAGTGAAAACTGTGCTGTCACTTTGGCAAAATGGGAGAAGATGGTTGCGTATAGTGAAAGTATAACCCTGCTTGTTTTAGCTACATGCCATAAAGAATGCAATTGAAAGAGAGACTGGAGAAGAAGTACTCAGTGCTCAAACAGAAATGAAGGCAAAGAGCCAAGGCAGTATTTCCCTAGATGCTTTCTCTGGACAGTAAATGATTTCTTAAAAAAAGCCTTGGGGAAAAGTCAAATCCAGATTCTTACCAGTAAAATGTGGCCTTGGGGTAAAAAAAATCAAATTAAGTTTATAGCTATAAAATCATTATTGAAAACTCTGAAAGATTTCAGGTCATGAACCTGGTGTTTTTAAGAATCTTATAGATATTTTATAATACCCTAACCATATTCCTAAGTACAAAGGAAACTGTCTCAAATAAATTCCTGGTTCTATCTTCTATATGATGAAATTGAATACAAATTGATTCATTGAAAGCCCACAGACTTATAAAGGTGGCATCAAACTTGAATGTGCCAGAGAGAGTCCAAAATTTAAACTGAGCAAACAAAAATAAAAATTGGGTACCAGAAAATTACTCACCTACAGAAAGCATGTGGTACCATTCCTTATGGACCAAAAAGAGTGATTTGGAAAGCAGATTCCAGAGTCCAGGCACAAAAGTCAAGAACTGCAGACATCTACAACCCAAGATCAGAACTGGACTGACTCTTCATCAATTCATTTTCAGCCCTCACTTTGGGGAGAATGGACCACATGTGTCAAAATGGACTTCTGTGTTGTTATTGGTCAGTGAATTCTGTGTTCTTTTCCTCCTTTGGGCCATAACTCTTTATTTCTTTGAGCAAGACTATACATTGTAGATTTCTTGCTCATGATATGAAGTATATGTTAGTTTTGTGCAGTGCGGATAAGTTGGTTTGTTATTCAGAGCTTTTGCATTTGAGAAACTACAAAAAAAAATTTCTGCCTAAGACTCTGAACCCAGGGAACCTCATTACATGTGGGCACCGTAGAAATAATGAAATCTCAGATCTCAAGCTAATGTAGTATGCAGTGAAAGTTCTAGGGAACTGAATGTCAAATTTTTACCTACTGGAAATATTGTAGGTAAAACACCCATTTCTTCCTTCCTGTTCTGTATTTTTTTTGTCAGTCGTGGGGCTTGAACTCTGGACCTGGGCGCTGTCCCTGAGCTCTTCAGCTCAAGGCGAGTGCTCTACCACTTAAGCCACAGTACCACTTCCAGTTTTCTGGTGGTTTATTGAAGAGAAGAGTTTCATGGACTTTCCTGCCCGAGCTGGCTTTGCATCACGATCCTCATATCTCAGCCTCCTGAGTAGCTAGGATTACAGGTGTGAGCCACCAGTGCCTGGTTTCTATATGCTTTCTACTGTCTCACCCAGAATCAGAGAAAAAAAAAGGCCTTCTAACTTGCCTTGATCAACAGAATGTGCCAAAAGTAAAATACTCGATTTCAATTTTTCTATCTTGAAAGCCAATTTATATATAAGACCCCTTACATCCATATACTATGAAGAAACCCAATCTAGTCCTCCAAAGTTGCCATAGGGGAAAGAATGATGCTCCAGACATTGGCATTAAACGTTTATCAATGTTTCAACTGCCAGTGGAGTATAATTCTAACCAATGTTGAATAGGGCAAAGGAACGGCCTATAGAAGCAAAATATCCTCATAGGGTAATGAGAAAAAATACCCTGTTGTGGTTTTAAGCTGTGGCCTTTTGGGTAGACTTTTTTTAAAATAAAAAATAACTGACAAAATTTTTCAAAATTAATTTCTGGTGCATGTGGCGATCTTGTAATGATCATATTTATGGAACTAGGATATACATTGTACCCTGATGATACAAAAAGTATTCTTGCAGACTCTCAAAATTAAAGGAGCAAGATTATTCCTGAGTATTATAAGATCACCACAGGATGATTCAGCAAACAGATATAAAAAAGATTGACAAAGGACTAGTCCAAAGAACTGGCTTAAAATCAGAATCGAGATAATCAACACATATAAAGGAAGAGATATACTGAGTAGAGCTTGCTTGCTCCAGAAAAAAAAATGCAACACTAGTAGAATCACAGAGTTCGATGTGGTGGCCCTGACTTCTGACCCCAGGATCTCTGGTCATCTGTTACCACTATAATGTGGAAATGAGCTGAACATAGGAGGCTGAAAGAGCCTGAATCCAGCACCTCTGTATTTTTTATGAATCATTTGCAGCTTTTCTGACATCAAATTCACCAAGAGATATTTTAATAAATTTGATTACCAAGACACATGAACAAGTGTCTCATTAGGATCTAGCAAGGTCGAATTGTGGCTTCATGCACCAGCTCTTTGGAGCTTGGTTGCAGTGACACCTGATAAGATGAAGTTTCTGGGTTTGTAGATTGAGGCCAGTGCTCTCCCAGGGCAAATCAGAAATCTGTCCAAGTAGGCAGTTACCTTTCTCAAGAAAATACAATCCTCTATTCACAGTGTTTATTCCAACTTTCTAATTTTGGTATTTCCATGACAGCAAAGTACCTCATTTCCAAATCATTTTCCTGCTTTAGACACAGGAAACCTATTAGGTGTGACCTACTCTTTTTTTTTTTTTTTTTTTTGCTTATGTGGTGCTGGGGAATCGAACCTAGGGCTTCATGCATGCAAGGCAAGCGCTCTACCACTGAGCCACCTTCCCAGCCCCATAGGTGTGACCTACTCTTGTATGGGACAGAAGTGATGGTAGCGTGCAGCCACTGGCTTGGCTATACTAGTGCAGGCTTTCAGGGTAAACCTGCCCTTGCATCCCTTGCTGAGATACAGAAGTAGCAGAGAAAAGAACTGGAGATAATGCGTCCATCCTGGAGAGAAGCCATTTTACAGGGGGCAATACCAGTTGGAGGGTGTGTTAAAACATTAGTTTCAATCACTGAAAAGAAGTAAAAATTAGAGAATAAGTGGGAGAAAAATACCAAAGTGCAGTTGAGAGAGATTAAATTCTGCAATCAGAGAGATGGAAATTCTAGTCCTATCTAATATGCTCAAACCATTGTTTCTTTTACAAGAAGGAAATGTTTATAGGTTGATTATAAGAACTAAATGTGAAAATGAATATGTTCATTTACAACTCTTAGCAAAATGGCTACTATTTGGAATGGTCTCAAAACAGGTTTCTTTTATTATTTCTCTGTTCTGTGTATCGCAAGTTTGTTCCTGCTACCAAGAATGATCATGTCCCCTCTATAACACTCCTAACCTCCTTACACTCCTAACACATAACATAAATAACCCCTTTGGGAGGGAGGGGATGGTAGGAGAAAAACAAAGGAGGAGGCAACAATGCTTGATAAGAAATGTACTCATTACCTTGTTCATGTAACTGTAACCTCACTGTACAGTATTTTCACAATAAAAACATAAAAAATTGAAAATATCATAAGATCAAAGTGTGTTTATTACACCTAACCTACAAACAACGAAACTTAGCCAGACAGTATCGTATTATATATTCACCATTTCCCTCCTGACTGAATGGCTGATTGTGAATCATTGGTCCCTTACATTGCTAAGCATCACAAGACAGTTTTACATATCACTAGCTAGGGATAAGTTGACAGTTCAAGGTATGTTTTCTACTGAATGTTCATCAAAGTCACACTTTTATGGAGTGAAACAATCATAAGCCAACCAACCAGAGAGCTGGAGACCATCTCCAGCTCTCTGACTCCTTTGTGTTACTCAGATCTCAATATGTATGCCCCCTCTTCATAGAAATCCTCCATACAAGTCATGGAAGAGTTCATGAGCTTATCAATCTTGGATAAGTTTCTTGCTTTCTTCTCATTTTGTTTATGTGAGCTTCTAGGGGACTGTGTCATTATTTTGCTTTTCCAAATTTAACTATAATCTTCATGGCAGCAGCCAGTAGTTCCTTGTCAGACGCAGTCTTTGCCAAATCATTGAGATAATCTGACTGGAAAATGACAGTCATGGTAGATATTTATTCCCTGATGAATGAATGGGAGATCTGTGATGTTCTTAGAATAGGTGTTAAGATTTTCAGTTATTTGCCACTGATTTAAAGAGCCATGAATGATTCCATAATGTGTCATTTCCTTAGGCAAATAAGGAAAGATAACATGAATGAGACTTGTGAAAAGTAGCAAAAAAAAATGTAAAAAAAAACCAAAGTTCGGGTAAGGCAAGCGGCCAATGAAAAAATAATAAAACTATTCAGATAGAGAAATCAAAGTGGATTAAATATTGTGCCTGCCAAAAGGAAGATCAGAAACAATAAAAATCTTCACCTTTAAGCTCCCTTTGACTCTGAAAAAAAATGAAGAAGATCATGAAGCAATGGGAAAGGGGAAAATCACATTAGCTTGTACAATGAATCAAACGCTCAAGGTCTAATGATTGTAAGCATTGTCTCAGTCCTTAAGTCAGAGTCTTAGACATGATTCCCAGGAGAAATCTCTCTTTGTTGACATAAAGTTTAATGTAACAATGACATTCAAAACAATGTCACCTACACAGGACTTAAGAAACCAGGAGATTCTAAAATGCCATTTAAACTCTCATCCTGCCTGTTTAGGTAGGATGCTGCTGCACTAGGCTCTTGCTTCAGTGTAAGGAACTAATACAATGAATGCCATAGCTAGTTTAAGGTTTACTTCTGTAATAACATCCAGACCTCTAATCATCCTAGACATATTGAACACTTAGGAAGAGCTGAGTTATTACATCACTGCTTACAACTCTTTCTCACTCTGACCAAATATTTCAAAGCCCTCAGATAGTTATCTAAGTTCCTAATAGTTGTTGTT